TTGTATACCTATTTTCCTCCTGTGTTTAATTGTCTACCCTACTTGGTAGGTTGTTTCCATTCTCATTTGTGGAGTAGTGATCATTTTGATCCCTCTCTATAATATCTTTTAGTAGTCTGTGTAGGGTTGGCTTTGTCATCATGAAATTCTTTAGTTGTTCATTGTCATGGAAGTGTTTCACTTAACCGTTAAACTTGAGAGAGTTTTGTAGGGTATATCAGTCCAGGTTGGAATTTGTTTTCTTGTAAGACTTGAAGTACTCTGCTCCAGTCTCTTCTTTACCTGATGATTTGTGAAGAGAAATCTGCTGTTATTCTGATGGGTTTTTCTTTAAATGTGATGTTTTTCTCTAGCAGCTTTTGGTATACTGTTCCTGTGCAGAACTTTTGGGATCTTGATTATTGTATGACTGGGTGTGGTTATAATTAGGTTGATGTTATTTGGAGTTCTGTATGCATCGGTTGCTTGAATGTTAGATTGCTGATCTCTCTCTCTCTCTCTCTCTCTCTCTCACTCACTCACTCATTCTCTCACTCTCTCATGATAAATCTGGGTCTAGCAGTATCTCAGGTTACCTGGTACAGATCTACCAAGTTTGAACTCATCCTACTGGACCCGGCTTGGGTCTGGCTGCTGTGCTTGGCTTCCTACTGCTGCAGCCCATGGTGTTGAACCCGCTGTGCCCCACTGGCAAGCTGATCTGCTCCTGTATTAGCTGGCTGGATCTCACCTCTAGCCTTTCTGTCAGGAGTTCCACTTTAGGGTTCCACTCCAGGCCTGAACACTGGCTGAAGGGAGGTTCTGGTGGGCCACGGGTCCCACCCCCTGGACCGCTGGCTGGAGGTGGGAGGTTTGGGGAGCACCAGGTTGCTGGCTGCACGGGAGAGATTCCGGTAGGCTCCAGGCCTGTCCATTGGCTGCTGGCTGGAGGCCATGTGCTTGTTGTCTCAGTTACTTGTACATTACTGGGAGAAAGTACCTGGCACCCACAGATTACAGAAGGCAATGTTCATTTTAGCTCATAGGTCGTGGAGTTTTCAGTCCAAAGTTAGCTGGTTCCAAGGCAGGTAGACATGGCAGAGGGGCATCACAGAGAAGAAACAGTCTGTGGCATGGTGTGCAGGAAGCAGCAAGACTTCTTTCCCTTTTTAGTCTATGCAGGCTACAAGCCTGTTAGTTGGTGCCACCCACTCAAGTGGCCTTGCTTCTTTAGTAAATCCACCCCCCAAACCCAGAACTGTGTTAAACCAATCAGCGGACTGATTCAGCATCACATACCTATGATTCAGTTTGTCACAAAAGCCCCACTTCTGAGCATTTGACCCTTTTGGGTGACATTTAGATATAAGCCCTAACAATATTCTTATCTGAAGATTTGTCCTAGTGTGGTGTCGGAAATAAGATAGGATTAGGAAAGGTTGAATGTCAATCTAAAGGGTTATGAAGTAGCAGAGAACATGGGCTATTTCAGGCTTAGATGCTGACACAGATTTGTTACATAAAATGTATTAGGAAAGACATATTGGTACGTCCATTTACAAGTTTCATAATTTTGAAAAAGTTCATTTAGAATAGTTTTTCTCCTTGCTTTGATACAGGGTTTGTGTATAATGTTAGCCCATATATGGAATATCATCCTGGTGGAGAAGATGAACTAATGAGAGCGGCAGGAGCAGATGGTACTGACCTTTTTGATCAGGTAAGGTGCTGAAAATAATCAAAGTTACTATGATAGAAGAGTGCTTATAGCTTTGGCAGTATGATATTTATAGACAGGGAAAAACCATATGTTTCAAATGTATTGGATTGAACTTTGAAATATAGACAAATGCTCACAAGCAGAAGATGTTCATTTAATTTGGTTTTGGATTATTATATTAAAAATTTAGAGACAATTTTATATCTCTGGCATGCTTTTAGTCTCCTCTGTTGGCTTGGTCTTGATTAATATTAAAAATGATGATAATTGACTTAGGAGAAATAGTAATGATGGAAGAAGGGATGCTGCGGTCTGCTGCTAGCTTGCTGAATCATGCCTCTCTGCTCATGTCCTTCCTCATTTGGGATTGCTGTGCCATCTGCCTGCCTTGCTGGGCTGAGTCTGTCTTATCATTCAGAAAGTGAAATGAAATTTAATGGAAGCTGTGTTGTGCCTAGAACACTTGTTTTTTCATAGAGTGATACCAGAGATTCTTATATTTTTTTTCTTTTTTTTTTTTTGTATTTTTTAGGGCAGGGTTTATGGGGTCTCACTACACAGATCAGACTCACAGTGATTCTCTTGTTTTCAGCCTCTCAAGTGCTGGGATTACAGGCTTGCACCACCACACCCCATCTCATTGGCTGGTTCAGTGTGCCCTGGGGGCAGGGCCAGCACAGCACACAGGGAATGGAAGATTCTTGTATTTCAAAAGATTTAAATTAATCACTTTCCTGCTTATATTTACATAAGCATTAGTCCTTACACTCTTTAGGAGCTATGTAGAATATTTGAGCTACTATCAATTTACTGAATGGGTAGTCTGAGATAAATAATCCTCAGAAGTATAGAAATTCGCCTGTGTCTTCATATGTGCTTTATTTTATATTTTAATGCTACTTACTCACATTGTAGTATTTGGGTTTTATCATTCAGTATACCTGAATGAGATTGAGTCATTTTAGAGCTGTTTTTTATTAAATACAATTTGATTTCTGTTTATACTATTTTCTCATTTGTGTATGTGTTTTTCAACCAGGTTGCTAGAATTGTAGCCCTTCGCATCTACTTAAATGGCAAAGCTCATTGGCTGTTTTAATTCTCTTCCTGAGGCAAGTTTGCTCATGGGTCAGGACAACATTCTCTTTTTTACTTTTGGAACCGGGGATTGAACTCAGGCCCTTATGTTGCCAGGCAAGCACTTATTCTACTGAGCTGTCTCCCCTGCCCCAGTGACAGCATTCTTACGAGGGGGCTCTTATTAACATTTTAAGGCAAGCGCCAGTGTTAGTTGGTACTTGTTACTGTCAAGCAATGCAAACCAAATAGAAACATTTGCCTAAAAACTTGTCTGCCATATTTTTGCCTTTATCTGCCTTGTAAGTTTTGAAATTTCTTCCACAAGAATAATTTGCAGTAAAATCTAAGCTTATGTATATTCAGGAATTATGAGTTTATATGGGCCTCAATAGTATGAATTTACATGAGCTTTATTTAAGAAGAGTTTGTCTGGGAGAAGTCACAAGAATGCTGTGTTGCTAAAAGCTCTTTAGTAATAAAAATAATACTTTGCTTACCAGATTCTGTGTTTCCCTTGGCTTTATTGAGACCAGTAGATTTAAATTATTTATCACTTTTACTCCTCATGGGAAGTAAACAAGTTTGTATTCTAGAAGCTGGTGAAACTTCCTAGATTTTTCGGTGTGAAATCTTAACATGTGACCACTATTGGAGCTGTCCAAAAGTTATCTTTTTATTGTCATATTTCTGTCTCCGATTTTGATCCCAGTCATGATCTCTTATCTTGCATTTCCAAATGCCTGATACTTTCAGAACCTCTGGGCACTCCAACTTAGCAGGTTCTCAAATAAGATCAAATTTTCTTTCTTCTTTTTCCTGGTTTTTGTTTCTGATAAAAGGGCCTTGAGCCTGTAAATACTTGCCATATGCCTTGTATGCAGTCGTTGGCCAAATCCTATGATCTTTCTTTAAATGTTATGCTTTTTTCTTCCTTCTTGTACTTTTCTCCTTTATATACCTACTTAAATTCTACCTAACTCTGTATTTCCAAAGATAGTGCTTTACACATTAGTGGAGACCTTTAAGAACCTGGAAAATTTCAATTTCAGTTTACTGTATATTACTAGATGAATGCCAATTTATAAATATATGTGTGTTTTAAAAATATATGTGCTATTTTAATGTTATATATTTACTCGGGATCATACTATACTCTTGTATCAATAGTTGACCTACCTATTTTAATGTTTTTATAGTATTTTATATATAATATACTATGATTTTTTCTTTTCTGATATTGCTGCAATTGGAAGAGTTAGTTTGTCCCAGTACTTCGCTGATTTAAGTAGTATTATGATGAATATTCTAGAGATAAGGGTACGTGTTAGGTGTCAGATGTGCCAAATTTGTGGTCTCACAGCAAGGAATGAAGTGGTGAGCAAAAGGAGGAGTTAGCTTAACTGGAGATGAGCAGCATAGCTCCTGCACTTCAGGAGGACTGCTGAGCGGTTGCTGCTCGCCTCTCAGTCAGAGCTACCTACCCATGCGCGGAGCACAGGAATTGCTCAGCTGTTTAGTGGTCACCTATCATGCATAGCTCTGGATTTAAAATCACCAACTGGAACCCAGGCTCTGTCACCCTGTTCTTCAGCGTGGACAATCTCAAAGAAATCGTGATTTTAGAGAAAAAAAAATCTTTAATTTTCATTGTAAGTTCCTCAGAACTCAGGAGCATAGTTGCGAGTGATTGCTTATACCTTTTTTTAAAGAAGGAATTAGGCCATATTGCATGCGTCTTGAGGAAGTTCATTCTCTGTGCAGAGTTCTAGTTCACAGGCTGTTCCTATTTTAGCTGTTATTAGTAGGGCCAGACCCCATCTTGGTCGCAGGCCTCTGTAGCTAGCTGCCTTATGCACAAGCTAGTGCACTATTGTGCACACTAGTACTTGCATCTTTTTGCACATATACGTATTTTCTTGGGTAAATTCCTACACACAGTACCTGAATAAAAGGGCTGAACATTTTAAGGCTTTTATATATATCAAGAAGGTGCTTTTTTTAGAAAGATTTTTTAAAATGAACTCCCACTGATAGCAATAAGTGGCTGTCAGTTATTTTTCTTGGAGTAATAATTTTACTTTGTACACTTTCAAGAAAACATCTGTTAAATCAGTACCAAAGTCTGAATAGCCAGTTTGTTCGTCAGTTACTGTTTCAAGTGTTAGTGGTCCTTCAAGAGAAATCCCATTCAATCTGCAAATCAAACAATTGCTAAGAGTTTTCATAAGGCGACTACCAAACTTAACACTGAAGTGGTTTTGACAGCTTTCTGTTTTGTTACATGCAATATAGAAAAGGCCAGTCCTAGCTGTCCAGATGTAAGTAAATTGAGGACTCTTCTCCCTTGTGAACAACACTGTCACACCTCCCTCCAACCTCACAATGGTGAAGAATGCCTGCTGGTGCGTCTGGATCGCTGCTGAGACACCAGCGGCTCTGTCCACCCCTGCTTGTAGCACCCCTGCAACTGTGAGAGCTGAGAGAAGGCCAAATGCAGTTCACAAGGGCTTCTGCTCACCAGCAGTTTTGGCTTCAAAAATGTTGGGTAGAATTTTGCTTCTATCCACACACTCCACGTCGGATGACAGGCACAATCATGGCCATCTTCTCTCATAAAAATAGAGGCACCTGTCTTCCCCCAAATTGTAAAACAAATTAAGTTCTTCCACCAACGTGTACTAATAACATCTTAGTATTCTCGTGGAGCTGGTTGAGCCTGCATGGGTGCCTGACAGCGTGCCAGAAGCCTTCAAAGGCCTGTAGGCTGCACTTCAAGAACACTGCTTTTATCTGCTTCAGAGTGCTCAAGAAGGCTGTCCTGCTCCTGGTGAAATGATAGTATCTTGTGGAGTTACTCGTGTCACTTCTCTGCCATTTATATCTCATGCCAGGTTCATCGTTGGGTCAATTACGAGTCCATGCTGAAAGAATGCCTGGTTGGCAGAATGGCAGTTAAACCTGCAGTTCCAAAAGGTAAGTGCTGGTGCTGAACTGGAATAATAGATGGATGATGCACAAGTTCCTTTTGAAATTTCACTTAGATGTCAACAAATAGATTTAAAGGAATCACAGTATTTTTTCTACTTCTAAATATTTTACTTTAGTAAAACTATTCTACTCTAAAGCAGTATGAATGTATTATACTTACTAGTCAGCTTCCTCGCTGCTGGGACAAAATAGGAGATATTTAAAGGCAGAAAGGTGGAAAGTTTTAAGTTTCCGCCTTAAACCTACAGTTTAAAGGTGGAAAGGTTTATTTGGCTCTCAGTCTCAGAGGGTTAGGTCCTCAGGTGACAGGTTTCAAGCAGAAGTGGCCCGGCAAATGCCCAGATGAGGAAAGCTGCTCGCCCATGCAGCCAGGAAGCAGAGCAGGTAGGACCTGGGCCAAGATTGAACCTTTCCAGGTCATGCCCAGGACCCACCTCCTACCAGACCCTCCCTCCTAAGAGCACAGTTGGTACTCGCCTCATCAGTAGATTAATACATCAGAATTTTGGGTGTACATCTAAGATTAAACCATAACAAATACTAAGCAAAGAATTAGCTATGTTTATTATAATCCTTTGTTTAAAAGGTAGTTTATATTACGTTTACAAAGATATATCATTCATAAATAAAGGAGAAACAGCTTAAAAGATAAGGGTCAGTACTGGTAGTCTGTCTACATGGAACACTGTTTTTTTGTTTGTTTGTTTGTTTGTTTTGTTTTGTTGGTGGAACTGGAGATTGAACTCAGGCCTTTGTGCTTGCCAGGGAAGTGCTTATTCTACTAAGCCATCTCCCCAGCCCTGTAACACTGTTCTTTAGTAAAGACAAAAAATGAGTTTGTCCTCAGCCCTATTCTTTGGCAGTCATTAATGTAGCTGCTTGTCACATGTGACTACCAAATGCTACAGTGTGCCTGGCGCAAATTCATTTATGCTATAAACATGAAATACAGGCTGGATTTCAAGACAGTGTATGTGAAATATCTCAAGTTTTCATTGATTACACAATGAAATGGTAATATTGTGGATATATGAAATAGAAATATTAATTTAGCTTGTTTTTTTTCTTAAGTTATTAGAAAATTTTAAGGTGTACTTATGGCTCACATATTTAATTTTTGGACAGTACTGTTCTATAAACATACTCTTAAAAATTTAACATACTTTTCTAAATGGTGGTAGAATTTTCCAACTTTGTACTGCAGTCTCAGAGGTATTGTCACTGGGCTATGTCGGGGAGTCCCCTGTGCTGAAATAAGAACAATCTACCCTTTAAAACATGTTTGTAGGTTCACTTTCTCCCATCACAGGAAAAGAATTTTCAGGACATGTCAGTGAAAGAGACATGAGAAAGTTTTATTGATAGACATAGGGCGTGCTCAGGAGCGGAGTGCAGGTGCTCAGGGAAGTGAAGGTGCGATACAGTCGGAAATGGGCTTTCCTGTGTGTTTTGCGTGGTAGGAATACGTAGAGTTCCATAACCTACAACCTTAGTGTGGCAGGGGTGGGGGCGTTGGCCCACCCATAGTGAGACATGATGCAGTGGTTGAGAACCCTCACACGGGCAGCCCGCTTTTGGGGGAAAGAGGACCACTTGCAAGTAAATAGAGCAGGGCAGACCCTTTTGTAGGTGAGTAAAGGGCATGCCGCTTTACTCTTCACTCTTGGAGAAAGAGACGGGGTAAAAAAGGAGAGAGGGGGTAAGTAAACGTGCTTCGTATTCTGAAGCTGCGGTTTTGCGTCAAAGAACAATTTTTAAAAATTCCAGCTTCCTTTTGCGTCTTCTGTGTAGTTTTCACTTCCACCTTACCTCAGTATTGCTTCTGAATTTCTCATGACTTGATTGTAGTTTTGTTAACATATTTGGAGTGCTGGAGTCCTCTGCTGGAGGTAGTTTCTAGATTCTTTTTGGCTTGAGCATAGAACTGGCCAAAACAAGCACAAATGGTAGTGAGGTTTTATTGAAGACTGGAAAAGAAGCAGACGCTACAGAATGAGTGAGGGCCAAGTAAAAGTAGGGAAAAAAGTGCACCCTGTGGCGTGAAAATGGACCGCTATGCAAGACCCGGAGGTGGCCAGCACGCACTGGACCCTCCTTTTTTTATTGTCTGCTGCTCAGGCTGACATCAGATCTAGGCCACCCTGTTGACAACTTGCCCGAGCACTTGGCAGAAATCCATGTGCAGGACTTCAGAAATTGTGGTGGGCATCTGTTCAAGATCATGGAACACATCTGTAGGGATGGTAAAGGACATCAAAATAATCTAAATAATATAGAGGCAGTAGTATAGCTTCCAGCCTCGTAGATATCTGTTACTCTGAGTTTGCGTTCCCCAAAATGGAAGAATGAATTCTAAGGAGCAACAGAGGTTAAGCGCAGGAAATATTTTTTAGTGGAAAGAAAGCTTCTATCTTAAGGGAGACAAAAGGGGTCCCAAGTAGGTGGCTGAGGTCTTGACGTAATTTTGTTCCATTGACAACCTGGGTGGAAGTATGTCCCTAACTCTGATGACATCTGTAAGACAACTTAAGCTATAGACAAATATTTTAAAACTCCCAAAAGAATAAAAAATTGTTGAACTCAAATAAGAGTAGCAGTATTATAACCAGTCACAAGTTGAATAAACAGGTAAATCGGCACACATAAGACAATTGTTTATAGACCAGAGTGTACTTTGATGTATTTGGCCAAATTGAATTATGATAACATTTTATGGTTTTTAAGTTTGTAACTATAAATAGACTGGTCAAAACATTTTGTAGGCCAATTAACAGAGATCTCTTGTAGGACTAAAGCCTTTTACGACTGTGGGAGCAAAGAGTTTTCAAAATGGCCCTAGACTGATCGTCTGTCTGATTAAAATATCCTATCATGGAGGCGTCTTGTTGTTTGGGTTTTTTTTTTAATTTTTAATTTTATTTTTCATCGTTGTTTTGATAGCCACATGTGACTGCTCCTTTTAGAGGAGCAGACTGTTAAAGGTCATTTTAACTCTTTCCAGGCAAGCCAGATTTGGGTGTAGAAAGAGGCTGAGTGGCACTCTTTGGAGCTAGTTATGAATTTAAAACAGTGGAAGAGGAAGGCCTGCCAAGGCTTCAGTTTGCCCTGCTGCAGAGATCAACCTGTGACAGTTTGACTCGTTTTGCCCGTGATCCTCAGATCATACTTAGCTACAGGCCTTCTTTCTTAGAGCTGCAGTTAGCGTATATTTGAGAATAGTGAGCAACTTGGCAAGATGGTTTGGAAAGAAATCATGAAGAGGAATAGTACCCTAGGAACTGGGGCTGTGCCTATTTTTTAATCTTTGTTTTTATTTAAAACTGT